TTATTAAGGTACACCCTTAAAATCATTGAATGAGAGATTAATTTCAAAATACAAAAAAAAAAAAAAAAAAAAACTCAAAAACACCATAATTGTTCCAACCCAGAAGAAATACTCCACTGTTACACACATCTTGTTCACAAAAGGAAAATTTCCAATTTTTAAAATATTTTTATTAGAGTTTAGTGCTACCAACAAAGGTGAGAGTTTCACCCCCCCAATTTTTTATTTATTTTGTCTACAAACATTTACGTGACAAATTATGTGATGTCACCAATTTTTTGGATATTGGATTGCACAATAAAAGATAATTGTTTCTTATTCTTTAATTCACTCTACCTGCATGATATATAACTTAAATTTTGAACCTTTACTTTTAATTAAAAAAAATTATCACTAAATTATTTAATTATTTATACTTAAATAAGTGTTGATGTGTATTAAACAAACTAGCATAAAAGGTAATATATATTATAATAGGATAAAGATAGGTGCACCCACCGGTTTCACACCTGGGTGCACACTCTACGTAACCGAATGGTTATATAAAATTACAACTTTAGCCTTAAATGTCATCTTCCTCCTAATACCACTTTCTTCTTGTCTCCTCAAAGAAAACCAGCCCTCCCATCTTTGAAATCTCCCTCCTTTCTCCTCCTCTCTCGGATTCTTCCTAGATTGTGTTCTCCGAGAACCCAGGGCTTTCTTTCTTCTTTCTTTTTTTTTTTTCTCTCGATCTGGGTTTCTCCAGGAGAACCTGATCTAGGAAGTCTGCGTTTGAATTTGTTGCAGGAGGAGGAGGAAAGCGGCGATGCAGGAATCGAGAGAAGAGGATGAGCAGCTGCGGCGATGCAAGGAAGGGTGCGGATGTGATGGAAGGGAAGAGAGGGAGGAAGTCAGATTGCTACAGAGGTACTTGGAAGATCAATTGATGTTGGTTGGATCTGTATACGATTGTGGGGAGGAGGAGGAGGAGGAAGATCATGGTGATTGGGATTTGCTGGAAAATCTGATCTGGGTTCTGCTGGAGAAAAAATGAGAAAAAAAAAAAAGGAGGAAGAAGGTGAGAAGGGTAAATTTGTAATTGTATTTTTAAAATTTTTTGGTTTTGTAGAGTGTGTTGAGTCGGGTGTGGATTCATGTGGATTCATGGTGTGCACCTATCAGTGTCCATTTATAATAATATGGTCTTTAGAGTCCCATGAACTTTTTATACTAGAGTGATGAAAAAAAAAAAAAGTTGAACTGTTTACTATTTTATTAAATTAGGAAAATGAAAATCGAT